AAGGCACACACTACGAAAAGCACCGAACTGCGTCACGAGACAAGCCCTCACATGGAACCCTGAAGGCGAAAGGAAAAGAGGAAGGCCAAAGAACACACTACGCCGAGAAATAGAGAAAGATATGAGAAGAATGAACAAACATTGGACAGAACTGAAGAGAGAAGCCCAGGACAGAGTTGGTTGGAGAAAACTGGTGAGCGGCCTATGCTCCATTGGGGGTAACAGACGTTAGTAAGTAAGTAAGTAAGATGACGCGTTGTATATTTATATTAATAAAACGCGTATTTCATTCTTTCTACTGTTCAATATTTAGTCCGATGAAATCTTTTTACTTCACAAGAAAAATATTTTCAAACTATCCTATGAATAGGAAAGAAGTCTAAGCTTTAAACTCTCATCTACACAATGTACCCTTACACAATGTGGATGAAGAATCAATACAGCTTGCAAAATATGCTAAAAATTGCACAAACTTCAATAAAATTCCCATATAACATAATTAATTGGTAAAGTTTCAACAACAGCAACAACAAAAAATAAACTCTACACAAAATTGATTATGATCCAATTAACTTGCCACCCACTGACAACAACTTTTCTAACATAAAACAAGTACCTGCCTTTCATTAGACATGAAAATAGTAAATATTATCCATAACAGAAGGGAAAAAACGAGAAATTTATATATATATATATATATATATATATATATATATATATATATATATATATTTCTTAATGAATTGAACATTTTTTACACATGGATAAATATAAATTACTAGAAAATTGAATATTGAATTGGATATTGCTTGAGTAAAACAATCATTATTATTATTATTATTATTATTATTATTATCATTATTATTATTGAAAATTATGCAGAAAACATGCTGTGCAAATAAAGAAGAAATTTGTACACATACGTTTCGCTTTTGACAATTGATAATTGAATCAATATGGACGGCGTGTTATGGATAATTTATTTGAATGGTGTTTTTTTTATTTTATTTAACAATCTAACTGTGAATAAACAAATTTTCTTAGTGATATTGTAATTCGATCAAGTTGGGCGATTGAATAATGAACCATGATGGAGTTTAGAAGGCTGCATGATTAAATAAACGTGTTCAACTCCGCCAAAGGTCATAATATGATGAACGATGCCCTCAAGACTAGATAGAACACATTTTCTTTATGAAATGTGTATATATAATTTTGAAACATTCATTCGTAATACAGGCAGACTTCTGACTGCCTTCGCTGGCATTGACTCTGGTCTTCAACACTCTCTGATTGTGCCATACATTTTGAACTCCAGACTATCCGCACCGGTAGCAACTTCCAGGCGACGCTCTGCTGTATACTACTTATACGCCATTTTGTGAGTAGCATTGAAAAATGGTAACTAGTTGAGTGGAAATATATCATAAGTAATGGAAATATCATTGATAAGTTTAGTGATGGCCAAGCTACTCAATGAGTCGACTAAAATTAAAAAGGCTAACTATATGATTTCCATTGGTTAATTTCAATGTATCAAGTTTGTCATGATGTCTGCTGTTTATAAGTACACACTATGCTATGAGAAGTGATTTATTACTGCGTAATAGTTATTTGAGACTCGATAGTCTTCAACAATTTCGTAATTGTAATCAAGCAGTGACACAACCTAACTCCGTCCGGAGCCCTGCTAGGGAGAGAAGAAGGTTTGGGCATGGAGTTAGCGACTCAAATACATAGAAATCCAACTCGCGAATAAAACACCAACAACAAAAATAGTTCGCTGATTGACGGCCTGTGCTCCATTAGGGGTAACAGGCTTAAGTAAGTGACGCAACCTAAGACATAGTACACTAATTTCAATCTAATTGAATGGGTATATTACGTGACGCGCATAAATGGAGCCTTTTGGAGTTGTGGCGTCGGCTGTCTCTTCGTGGCCCCACTAGAAACGTGGAGTGGTTTACAGCGCTGAGGCCAAAGCCGTTACGAACACTTAGGATACCGTGCCTAGCATGGTCCAGAATAATGGTACGTGTTCATGGTCGCAGGGCTGTGGATTAGGATTAGAACTAAACGCCTCCAAGTCTTAATCCCGTCCATTGAGCGTAGGTAAATTAAAATAATGGTTTGAGGGCTGGTCCTCCATCATTCCGGTAGTAGCAAATATCTTGAAAGGGATACTTGAAGGCGGCCCCAGACGATTTGTTTGAGGAAGCAGCTGTAGAGATCCTGGACTATTGACCCCGGCCCTATGTGGTTGTCCCGAACACTGCATCTCAGTGTATTGTGTAAATTGGCATCGAGGCCCCTTAAACAAGGGTCTTCAGTTGGGTTACGTGATCCGGTGATAAAAGGTACTGGACGCCAATGATATATGCCCACTTCTGTGGGATTAACCCAGCTAGGCCGAGTGCTTGCACTTGACTGAGTCCATGATGTCTTCCCCAAGGGAGGGTGTACGTTCCGGGGGGGGCACTGTTCGTGTGCGTGCTTTTTGGACGTCCGACTTGCTTGCGGACCAAACTGGACAACATGTACTTTCCCAACTGGGACAGTGGTGATCACTAAAACGGCTACAGTGAGAATCCTTGTGTTGCCTAAAAAGCAGCGATGTGCATGTTTCAGCAGGCTCAAGATTTAGTACACTAATTTCAATCATATGAA